AAAAAAAAAAAAAAAAAAAAAAAAAATCAGGTGTTTCATAGTTTCATAGCTGTTAGGGGCATTTATTGATAATTTTTTACCTGAGTTTAACAGTGTTCAGAGGCAGAAAATGAAAAGTATTACTTATGAGAGTTATTACTAAATTACTCATGAGAGTTAAAATGAAACAAAAGTTTCTGATTACAGACATATAAATTCAAAGGGACGTAAATGTATTAAAATACAAAAAGTGGAGCCTTACACAACATAAACAAAACCTCATGTTATTTTGGTTCTTAATAATATACAGGTTAGTTTATTGGTCAAATATTCAGAAAAGAAATATAACTAATCCATCCTCATACCACCAGGCCAAAAACAGGTTTACAAAACCTCAAATCATAGAAAACTCTAATGCATCCCAATTCAAGAAGAAGGAGTTTGGCTTTCACTATGCTATTTTCTTAGAGTTCTTGATTTATTTTGCAGAAAAATGTATTGACAAGCACACTCCATAATTTGACTGCATGTCCCAGAAAACATTTTCTGTCAGAAAATCCAAAGAACTTACTGATGTTAAGAATGTCATTTTTGATTGGAAAGGACAGTTCTTATGCAAGGGGCTCTATCAGATTAAAGAAACAGTTGTGGTATTTTAGAGATCATTGTGCAAGCTGTAGTTCTGAAAGTATGATTTTCTTTAACATAACCGAAGCCCAGGATGAACTAAGATAGGAGCAGAAATACAGCTAACAATCAAACATAAGCATAAAACCATCTTGGCCTTACAGGTACGTGTGAACTTGAAAAAAGTGGTATACATTATTACAGACATTCTTCCTCATTTTCTGCATGGCAGGACAGAGATCATTTGGTCTAAGGAGTTTGACACCATATTTATAGTGCAGGATCCTAAATGCTCTAAATCTTACCTGCTTCAATATGGAAGCTAAAGTTTTATTTCATCTTCCCAGACTTACTCCTGAAATTATAACCTGAATGGGAGCATTGTAAATGAGGTTTCAAGAATACACCAGCTCAGAATATCTGACATTTGGTCTCTCCTGCTTACCCTGTGACATACTCCTTCGTATGTCACAGCACTCACCACTGGTAGCATAGTTGGGTATCCTGGCTTTATTTCACCCAAGGATTTCTCAACACAAAGAGAAATCTCAGAAGTCCTGTAAGTACAACTCTCAATTTCCTCTGAGCTGCGGGAGGAGCAGAGTAAAGAACACAAGGACAGAAGATCTGGTTCATAAATACGCTCGGGCTGAAGAACCTTCCTGATGTACATATTACAATACACTCCTCAAGAAGTCTGACCCTGCTTTTCACTTTGACAGAAGCTAGGCAATAACCAATAATTTTCATACTGAATTTAGGGCCAATTTTTAGGAATTGTTTTATGGTAACACAAACTAATTATTATTTTGCTTCCATATGTGCAGTTTACTGATCAAGCTGAATACCTGTGCTAATTTTCTCGTTATTCTTTTTTAAGAATTTTTTTGATTCTAGTTAAAATTGTCCATTTAGAAAAACAGCATGGTAGGCCCCACTGTTTAATTATTTCTGCTTTCAAATATCACAATCCAAGTTAAAATGATGGACAAACAAGAAAAGTTCATTAGAAGACAGAAGTGATGTTGTGTCTAATGGCAAAGAGCAACACAATTTCTGTATAAGAGGATAGCTAACAACAAGGGAACAGGCCTAACAAGAAAATTAACAGTGGACAAAATTCTGAAAGCTTGGATATGTGATTAATCACCCCATTTAAAATTTAAAAAATTTTAAAAATTCATAGAGAAAGTTTCTCCCATAGTCTGTCTGATCCTTCCAAGTATTAAAAATACACACAAGCATGTAGTTTTTAATCTTCCTTTGATAACACCAAATACAGATTAGGGATATCACTGGGGGAAAAAAAAAATCTAAGGATTGTTGTGAGAGTCTTATCTCACTAGTGTATCAATATTTGTTTTGCCTTCTAGAGCACAAAAAAATAATAATTTAACAATTAATTCTACTATCCTGAGCAAAATGGATGCTAAAAATGCAAACTAATAAATCATTGTTGTGGTAAGACTTCATTGCCTTTATTATATATGAAAATATGAATTGTTAAACATTCCACTTTGCTCTAACCATCGTTTTCAGGGATAACAATGATGATCGTAATTCATATTGTGGCAATAGCGAAAGTCCCAGTAAGACAGGGGGCCTATTGTACACAACGCTATGCAAACATTAAAAAAGAGAAAGACACACAAACCTGGCCTGACCACGATTATGTCAGAAGACACCAATGACTTAAGATATGCTTTCTTAGTAGGGTTGTTTGCCTTAGGATGCCTGAATACTAAAAGAGCATTTAAAAAAAACAAAATATGATGGGGCTGCAACTAAAGGTGCACCAATATATTAGTTCATATTGTATCGGCACCGATAAAAGGAAAAGCGACATTATTGGCAATCTGCTTTTTTTGGCTGATGTGGCCAATAATGTCACCAATAAATACCATGCACATGCACATCGACACAGCATGCACACAGCCAGGAATGCACCCCAGCAGCTTGGAGACCAGCACCCAGCCAGTAAGTCTGGAGGGAGGGGGGAAGGGGTGTGGGGAGGGCAGATTGAGGTCTCCATGGTGAGGGAGGGAGTGGGGCTGGGGCAGGGGTAGGCCCTGCCCAGTCGAGGCAGGGCAGGGCAGGGCAGAGGACAGAGCCATGGGCAGCTCATCCGGGGGGTGGGGGGAAGGGGGGCCGCTCCCGCCGCTACACGCACCCCCCCCATACATCCCCTGGGGGTGCATATAGCAGTGGAAGCTGCCTCCCTTTCCATCCCTGCATCCCCCAGATAAGCCACCCACAGCTCTGTCCCGCACCCCACCCTGCTTCGGCTAGGCATTGTCTGCCCCTGCCCCCACCCCCTCCCACTCTCAGTGGGAGCCTTGATCTGCCCTCACATGCCCCTCCCCTCCACAGACTTACCAGCCAGATGCTGCTCTCCAAGCTGCCGGACTGCATATCAGCAATCAGATCAGTATCAGCTGATTTGGCTGGTTAATATTGGCTCCAAAAATCTTTATCGGTGAACCCCTAGCTGCAAGAATTGTTTTCCAGGAAATTAGAGAGAAAACAAATTATTTAAAAGCCCTTGGCAGATGTTACAATTGTTCTGTGATTAATATGTTGATCACATGATATACTGTAACATGCCATACATTCAAGCAATTTATCACTTGGTAACAAGCCACAAAGTAGCACTCCAGCCTCAAAGTTGCTACTTGTAAAATGTAAAGTATCTTTGCAGGTTGCTTGAATTGTACTTTAATTTGAAGGTGTGGAATTTTATACATAGGGTGACAGTGTTTTGGCAGGTCCTCCAGTATCCCAGAGTGAACTGCTCCCTCCCCTCCTTTTTGTAAAGGGACTCTGACTCATGCTTAATCTACCACCCAAGGTGCAGCAGCAGGTATGACTTATTACCCATTTTCACTTTCTCTAACCAGCCTGCTTTTTTAAGAAGCCATTCAGCACCTCTCTGTGTTGCCACAGTATAAACAAGTAAGTGACATGCTTTACTTGTCTAATATGGAGAGAAACAGCGGAGAGAATTTGTTCAGAAACCTGCAGGCAGGACAAGTGCTACACAAGCACCTTATAAGGTCCTGCCGGTTCCTGTCCCCTGCCCCGGCTCTTCTCACGGGTATCCCAATATCTGCAGAAGGGTCAGTGGAGCAGCTCTTTCCTCCAGGGGGAACCCAGCTGATTTCTCATTCCCAGCACAGCTGAAGGCAGGGATGACAACTCTTGCCAACAACTCTTCAGCTGCCCTTGCTGGTAAGTACTGGCAGAGCAAATTCCCAAGATGCTTTATTCCTCTCTGGATAGTTGACCCTCTGAACATAAGCCCGTCACATGGCATTGCATTTCCATTAAGTGATATTACTTGTTGTCTGACGGAAATAACATCTGCCAGGGGCCTAACAAAGTTATGCAATTACTATCTAGATGAAGGCAGGAATACATTAAGACTGCACAAAAGGTGGTTTACCATGGAAGAAGACAGTTGATGAAGGTGCTACAGAAAGTACCAGCAGAATTAATCAGATGGAATTAGTAAAATAATATGAGCTCTAAACATCACCAAAAAATCCTGACAGGGCATTTCATTTGTACAGGAAATGGTATCCCAAGGAAAATGAGAGAAGCCTGCTTCTTCTGAACTCTGAAAACTAACTAGAGAAACAAAAAAATATTCTGTAATAACAGTACTGTACATACTAGGGATGAACTATACCTCAAAAAAGGGGCAGCTAGGTGATTCTGACCCCATGACAATAAGGAAAGCCAAGCAGAAGGGTTGGAAGTAAATCTGGACAACATTTTTACCCAAAACCTCTCAGGCAAAAAATACAGATTTAACAACACCAAAATCTTTTGCAAATTTGTGTTGACTTCACGCAATTGTTCGTTTTGGGCAAAAGGTTTAAAAACAAGGCATGTGACAATTTCAAAAATAAGCATTCTGATTTTGCAACCTGATTTTTTTTTTAATTTAAAAGATGTTAACTACACATTTTAGGTAAAGTGTTTTATCCAACCCAAAGTGGATAGTTTTAGATGCTTCAGTCCCCTGAAAAAAATTTTAAAAAATATATGGTATGGCTTTACGAGCGCTCATGGTGCTCTGGAGAGGTACCGGAGGACTGGAAGAGGGCTAATGTGGTTCCCATCTTCAAAAAAGGGAGGAAGGAGGACCCGGGAAACTATAGGCCAGTTAGTCTTACCTCGATCCTAGGCAAGCTGTTCGAGAAAATTATTCTGGCACACATCCAGGAGGGGCCAGCAGGGGACTGCATGCTTAGGGGCAACCAACAAGGGTTCATCAGTGGCAGATCCTGTCAGACCAACCTGGTGGCCTTTTACGATCAGATCACCAGATCATTGGATGCAGGGGTAGCAGTGGACATAGTCTTCCTGGACTTCCGGAAGGCTTTCAACACTGTCTCTCACCCCATTCTCATTAAGAAACTGGGGGGCTGTGGCATAGACACCCTCACAGTCAAATGGGTCGCCAACTGGCTGGAGGACCGCACCCAGAGGGTGGTAGTGGATGGGTCCTTCT